AGGAATGCCAGAGACAGAACAACTCCCTGTAAGGGAGTGAAGTTTCCCTTGCTGATTAGATAAGAAACAGCCACAGCATTGTCTTGTCGAAATCCTGGAATACAAGTGCTTGGGAGCCCTCCTTGGGCAGCAGAGCTGGCTTTGGGGGATGAATCCAGTGCTGGACCAAGGCACCCCATGCCTACACTCATGGGACTGGTACTGGTGCAAGTGTATATAAGGAATCTACTTGTGACGCATCTTTGCAGACTCCTTGTAGAACCGCTACAGCGGTAGAACGGTCCAATGCATTGTTCATTAATTTTTTTTTTTTTTTATTTAAGCACAAACGTGTGTTTAATTCGCCTCAAGGGGTAAAATACAAATTCCCCACCACCACACACATGTAAACTAAAGTTCAAAGTTAAATCAACTTTTTATTCAAAGCACCTATTAAAATGACAGCACATTTACTCTTCTGCTGTTAAGGCATGCCAAACTACAGCTTAATCTTATGAAGCATAGAACACTTCAGTATTTCTTGTATGCAATCACTTTTTAATAAAACAAAAAGCAGTCTTCCACCTCAGGTTTTTTACTTGTTATTTTACCCAAAATTTGTTACTTACACAAAAGTACTTGAGCTGTCTGAATTTTTTCTACAGCTACATAGAATTCAGTGTACTTGTCATACTGAAAGAAGTATTGTGCAAGTTATAGAATAGAATCATAGAATCATAGAATAGTTTGGGTTGGAAGGGACATTTAAAGGTCATCTAGTCCAACCCCCCTGCCATGGGCAGGGACACCTACCACTAAACCAGGTTGCTCAGAGCCCCGTCCAACCTGACCTTGAATGTTTCCAGGGATGGCACGTCTACCACCTCTTTGGGCAACCTGTCCAGTGTTTCACCACCCTCATCGTAAAAATTGTCTCCCTTATGTCTAGTCTAAATCTACCTTCTTTTAGTTTAAAGCCATTACCCCATGTCCTATCGCAACAGGCCCTGCTAAAAAGTTTGTCCTCATCTTTCCTGTAGGCCCCCTTTAAGTACTGAAAAGCCTCAATAAGGTCTCTCCGGAGCCTTCTCTTCTCCAGGCTGAATAACCGCAACTCTCTCACCCTTTCTTCATAGGAGAGGTCTTCCAGCCCTCTGATCGTTTTTGTGGCCCTCCTCTGGACCCACTCCAACAGGTCCATGTCTTTCCCGTGCTGAGGGCTCCAGAGCTGGATGCAGTACTCCAGGTGGGGTCTCACCAGAGCAGAGTAGAGGGGTAGAATCACTTCCCTCGACCTGCTGGCCACGCTTCTTTTGATGCAGCCCAGGATATGGTTGGCTTTCTGGGCTGAGAGCACACATTGCTGGCTCATGTCCAGCTTTTCATCTACCAGTACCCCCAAGTCCTTTCCACAGGGCTGCTCTCAATCCCTTCATCCCCCAGACTGTATTGATACCAGGGGTTGCCCCCATCCAGGTGCAGGACCCTGCACTCGGCCTTGTTGAACCTCATGATGTTCACACGGGCCCACTTCTCAAGCCTGTCCAGGTCCCTCTGAATGGCATCCAGTCCCTCAGGCGTGACAACCGCACCACTCAGCTTGGTGTCATCTGCAAACTTGCAGAGGGTGCACTCGATCCCACTGTCTATGTCATTGATGAAGTTATTGAACAGTACTGGTCCCAACACGGACCCCTGAGGGACACTGCTTGTCAAATCCATATCTCTCCATATTTAGAGAGAAGGATGTTGTGGGGGACTGTGTCAAAGCTTTTACAGAAGTCCAGACAGATGACATTCGTAGCTCTTCCCTTGTCCAAGTTGTCAAAAGTTGTCAAAAGCATTACAGCTGACTGGGAAAATCAGTTCTGTTGAATTAAGTTATGACTTGGATCTGCAACTGACTGGTGATTTGTCTTATGCCCTGTGAAATACCACTCACGAGCAATTCCAAGTTATGACTCACAAGTACAACAGATTCATGCTCAAGGCACATTTTGGGATCAGGCTATTTGTATGCAGCCAACTGAACAGTCAAAATCGTGTAACTGAGAAATTCTAAACCCACACCCATGAATTGTCAAGTAGTTTTACATAGGCTAAGAAGCCTGATATGACTATGAAGTGTTTCTTTTTTTTAAGCCTCAAAGACCAAAACTGAAGTGCATTAATACATTATTTTAAACAAACTGGGTTAATAAAATTTTCTACCACAACAGGTATCAATTATCAAAGAACATAACCCAACAATTTCAGTTTCTGCTGTAGAATGAGTACTTTTCTGAAACATCTGTATGCATCTAGTCAGTCTACATCGAGTAATTGAACAATTTTTTTCTTCTCACTTAAGAAATAGGGAAAGTCTGAATTTTTATCTGAATTTCCTGACCTTCAACAAGAGGGGGGAGTTAAGAGCAAGCGGGTCAGTAAATGTGACTTCTTAACATCCACTAAAGCAGCAGCTCAACTAAAGAGTTTATCCAATTTGGAAACAAAATTTCCATAGCATATTAGGAATCTCTGGTTGCCTTCCAAGCAAAATACAGAAAGAGATCATCATGAGACAATGGTATTTGAAAATACACAATACTCATGAGGTGACAAGATGTACTGCTAAATGCTTTTTATCTGCGTCTTAGAGCACTAGGCAGTGTTCTGTACCTTCATTTATTTGGGAAATATATGAAATCACAGAGGTAACATACTCAAAACTACCTTTGGAAGCCTGTTTTCTAGTTAATACTTTTTTTTTGCCATGTTTAATTCATAGCTGTGCTAAAGTTAATGAACACAAAATTGGCATGTTATCCTGAAGTAAAGCAATAAGGCGGCTTTATGCACAGCAAGTATGGAGGCTTCTATTTGCTAATAATCATATAAGAGCAATACTTTTAAGACTTAGTGTTTGCTAATAGGAGATCTAAAATAGTTTAGTATAAATCAATACCATCCTGTCAATATCCCCTTTATTAACAAAAGCAAGTGCCAAATCATTAAAGGGTCCAAAAATATCTTAAAAAATATTACCAATTGTTTACCTTTGTCTAGACTTTGCAAGACTAATCATTTTCAGATAAACCCAACAATGTGCAAAAGTTCCTAACATCATACATTAGGAATAACAAGTGCTACTCAAACCAAGAGGTTCTGCTGAGATCAAACACAAAACCATAAAATAGCAAAGTCAAGTCTCATATCTTGAGCAGTCGCAGTGAAGATCCTGAACTATCTTACAGTTTCCTGCATGAAGCAGTCTCTTCCCCTCTACGAGTTGAGATGGCTAAGCTTTGCCTTCTGCCTTAGTGATAATAGGTAAAAATATACTGACATTAGAAAACTTGGTTCCATTGCTGCTTACAGTATCTTCAGATGTACCGTTTCATATAGTTTTGCTTAAACAGTGCGATACTTTCCCTTTTCTCAGCCTTCTTTGGCCATATGTACCATTCTGCTAATCACACTGTGCTCAGAAAGTGCTTCCTGTGAAAACGGTTTCAAATAAATGAGTTGAGTTAACCTTGCAAAAATCTAGCTTCCCACAACATGAAGTTTGTCCACTCTGCATTATGCAGTTCCATATTTACAAGACACTTAAACTTTACATTTGTCTTTTACCTTACAAAAAGTGCAACTCTCTCACCCCATGTTATGGGGCGACAACATTCTTAAATTCTACAGAACAGCAGCCTATGATAAGTAAATAAGGTGCTTAGATTATGCCCAGGATCTAACTGGTTAAGGACCACCAAGTACCACCACTTCGTAAAGGCAGACTCCATTCCTATGCTACTGTCACAGCGGTGCCACAGCTAGGTTTGCAAGCTCAATAAGAGCCAATGCACCATGCATGCGTTCACGCTGTTCCTGGAGGCGGCGGCAAGCAGTTGAATGAGCGCTATTTTTCTCTTCACCATCCTCTTCATCAGACTGAAGATATCCCATTGGGTCCTTCTGTTCCTGATCCGTTTTCTGGATTGTTTTACTTTTCAAAGTGGGAGCACGATGTTCTCTAGTCTCCCAGTATCTACATCAGAGGTGAAGAATGCTTTTAAATTATGTACAGTTTATGTAAGAACTACCATTACAGAATCACAGAATGGTCAGGGTTGGAAGGGACCTCTGGAGATCATCTAGTCCAACCCCCCTGACAGAGCAGGGTCACCTACAGCAGGTTGCACAGGACGGCATCCAGGCGGGTTTTGAATGTCTCCAGAGTGGGAGACTCCACAACCTCTCTGGGCAGCCTGTTCCAGTGCTCTGCCACCCTCAAAGGAAAGAAGTCCCTCCTCATGTTAAGATGGAACGTCCTACGTTCAAGTTTGTGCCCGTTACCTCTTGTCCTATCACTGGGCACCACTGAAAAAAGACTGCTCCCATCCCCCTAGCACCCTCCCTTTAAGTATTTGTAAGCACTAATAAGATCCCCCCTCAGGCTTCTTTTCTCTAGACTCAAAAGAAGCAAGTCTACAGAGAGGTGAGAATCGCCTGACAATCACAGGCCTTGATTCTCATGGGGGACTTCAACTACACTGATATCTGCTGGGAAGGCCACACAGCCGGGCATGTACAGTCCAGGAGGTTCCTCCAGTGCATTGATGACAACTTTTTGACTCAGGTGGTGGAGGAACCTACAAGGAGAGGTGCTTTACTGGACCTGATACTCACAAACAAAGAGGGACTGGTGGAGGATGTAAAGGTTGGGGGCAGACTGGGCTGCAGCGATCATGAGAAGATAGAGTTCAGGATTAAGTGTAGAATAGACAAAATGACAAGTAGAGTTGAAACCCTAAACTTCAGGAGGGCTAAATTTGATCGTTTCAAAGAATTGCTTGGGCAAATCCCATGGGAAAGGGCTCTAGAGGGTAAGGGGGCTCTAGAGAGCTGGCTGCTATTTAAGCGTCACCTCCTCCAAGCTCAGGATCAGTGCATCCCAAAGAGAAAGAAATCAGGCAAGGGGAGAAGGAGACCTGCTTGGCTGAGCAGGGACCTTCTGAAAAGGCTCAGGTGGAAGAAGGGAGTTTACAATAGGTGGAAGAAGGGGCTGACTGCTTGGGAGGAATACAAGAATGCTGTCAGGGTATGCAGGGAGGAAACAAGGAAAGCCAAGGCAGCCTTGGAATTGAACCTGGCGAGGGATGTCAAGGCCAACAGGAAGGGTTTCTTTAAGTATATAGGAGACAAAAGGAAAACTAGGGAAAATGTGGGCCCGTTGTTGAATGAGACAGGTGCTGTGGTGACGGATGATGCAGAGAAGGCGGAGTTGCTAAATGCCTTCTTTGCTTCTGTCTTCACTGTTCGGGCCAGTCCTTGTGAGACCCCGACTTTGCAGGTAACAGAGAAAGTCTGGGGGAAACAAGACTATCCCTTGGTTGACAAGGAGCACGTTAAAGATCAGTTAGATAAATTGGATATACATAAATCCATGGGGCCTGATGGGATGCACCCTCGGGTGCTGAGGGAGCTGGGGGAAGTCATTGCTGGGCCTCTCTCCATTATCTTTGAAAGGTCCTGGAGGACAGGTGAGGTGCCTGAGGACTGGAGGATAGCCAATGTCACTCCAGTCTTCAAAAAGGGCAGGAAGGATGACCCGGGAAACTACAGGCCGGTCAGCCTCACCTCCATCCCTGGGAAGATGATGGAGCAGCTTGTTCTGGGAGTTCCCTGCTCAGCCATGCAGGTCTCCTGCTTCCCTTGCCTGATTTCTTGCTCTTCGGGATGCACCGATCCTGAGCTTGGAGGAAGCGATGCTTAAATATCAACCAGTTCTCTTGAGCCCCTCTACCCTCTAGAGCCCACACCCACGGGATTTCTCCAAGCAGTTTCTTGAAGAGATCAAATTTGCCCTTCTGAAGTCTAAGGTTTCAATCCTACTTGTCGTTTTGTGCATACTGCACTTAATCCTGAACTCTGTCTTCTCATGACTACTGCAGCCAAGTCTGCCCCCAACCTTAACATCCTCCACCAGTCCCTCTTTGTTTGTCAGTAGTAGGTCCAGTAGTACACCTCTCCTTGTGGGCTCCTCTACCACCGGAGTCAAAAAGTTATCATCAATGCACTGGAGGAACCTCCTGGACTGAACTGGACTGTTCAAAGCTAGCATAAACCTTCCAAGTATTGTCTTGCGCATGACTAATCACTGCATTTGTTTTTTCTCTTTCAATCCTTTTATGGCACTATTTAAGCTGTCAGAAGCCTCCTTTATTCAGCATTTCAAGTGCAGAAGTGCCCAAGGGATAGATGATTTTTCACAGATATCTTTTTGTTACATGGTATTTCCACCAGTCAGCTCTCCCTGTGCATACACGATTGTTGTTCCTCCATAGATGCAAATTCAGCAGTATGACCGTAGCACTAACTAAGATGGTATTAGCAGGTGTTGTTCAAGCAAAGAGAAGCATTTAAGTAGAGAAGGAAAAACAGATGAGAAAGCCTCATGAGGAACTTTGTCTTAACCAGGGGTCTGCAACAAAAGGCAAGGCTGGGTTGAATCATACTAAAGGAACAGCTGGGTTTTGTTTATTGTTTTTCTCTTTTTTTTTGTTGTCCCTAAGAAAAAAACACTTTCTTAGGCCACTCTGTGTTATGTTTAGAGAGAGATCACACCATAAGGAAACTTACTTCGCTAGCCACTCAGCTGCAGCTTTATTGTCAGCCGTCTGTTCTTTACTCAGTTTGACTGTGAGTTCTTCCCTCTTCAGCCGGGCATATGGGTGTTTGGGGCAATGACGGTTTGCATGTGTGAATCTGCTTAAACAGCCTTAAAAAACCAAAATAACATTCGAGAACATATTAAGGAAATCAGTCAACTGACATGTTAGCATAACATCTGTGGGATGAAGATGCTCCTTACTCCACAAAAACCTGGATTCAGTTGAAAACAGCACACTAGTTGCAAGGCCCATAACACACCCATTAATTTTATGCACTGGTATCAACTGATACAATTACTGATAACCTGGCTTATATAATCAAGCATGCAATCCTTATATCTAAGTTTGCATGATTATGCACAGCTTCTGTGCGGCTTCTCCCTTCCCTAGAAGCTCCTCTAAAATTAAGATCCAAAGTTTTTATAGATCGCTGCCACATGAGCGTCCATACATTCCCAGTACTAGAATGACATTAATTCTGAAGGCCACGAGTTATTCTCTGAGGGCTCACCATTCTCTGAGCAGACAAAAGGCTTTTCCCCTGTGTGAAGACGCTGGTGAGTTTTGAGTTGTCCACTCTGAACAAAGGCTTTCCCACAGTCTGGGTAGTCACATAAATAAGGTCTTTCACCTTTAAAAACAAAACAACAACAACAACAACAAACCCTAACAAACAAAAAAATGCTACAAAAAAAGCAACCCCCCCCCAACCAAACCCAAAACCACAACCACACACACAGACTTATGAAAGCTGAATATAGAAGTCATACTATCCAGTGGTGGTCCTTGGCTTGAGACTTACACAAACAAGCTCTCCTTTTATGCACTCATACTCACATCTACTCAGAAAGCCTTAGTGTACTGGACAGCAGAGATATACTTTTACCCCAAACGGATGTTTAAAGTACGTATTAAATGCTACTGGATAATACATTTTTCCCCAGAAAAAAAAACAAAATTCTTTTTTTCCTTTATCATATTCCTAATCTTGCACATTATTTAAGTAATCTATACTCAAGTCAGCTTCTGGTATGTTCAAGTACAAGATAATTCTAGAAAGCATAAAAAGAATGGGCTGACAGCAGTTCAGAGAAATCATGGGCCTCGCTTTTTCCCCCCTCCATGATAAGATTGGACGTTCCTCCCTGTCACTGTCCAGATTTTTGGACTGCAGTAGGAATTTGAGTGAGGCAGACAGGGCACTACAGCAACTGCAAATAAGATGACTCCTTATCAAGAAGTCATCCTTAGTTCTGTTCATTTTGGTGTGTAAGACAGTGGCAAGCAATATTATGCTTTTCTCCTTTGAAAACTTCTGCTTCAGCATGCAAGCAGATGTGTGAACTTAGTAGTGGCCAGGTTTCCAGAAAGGCTACAGTTTTGTAGTTCTGCAGTGTTAGCAGCATCTCATCATCTTTAGTTCCAGAGAAGAGAAGAATTTGACAATGTTTTCCCTTTGAGCACTGCATCCTGCCTTTCAGAGAGTATCATGAAAGACTGAGGGCTTAGAGTTTTTTGTTTGTTTGTTTAAGAACTTTTTTTTGGACATAAAACTTTCCTAAAGCACTGAGATAAGTCCTAGAACTGATACTTGTAGTTAGGTAGAATGAAACATACACAGTATATTGTATAGATAGCATCCTACAGTATAGGTAGAACAAAGTAAAGGCAAACAATTTAATTCCAGTTGCAACCAGATACATTTTATCATTAATATAAACTGAGCCAGGGTAAAATAACTGAGGTTAATGATATAGGGATGTATAAAGTTTAAGAAGTATCTTATTAGAGAACTTTACTAGACTATTTGAAAAAAGTTGTGATGAATAAATGGAGGTCAGAAGAGAAACTCATTCTAGACTCAAGCCAAGAGAATTTAGGCCAACCATCAAGAACGACTTCCCCGTGTAAGCTGCAACAAGGGGAATGGAGATAGTAGGTATTTCTCCTCTGTCTCTCAAGATAGTATGATTGGGTGGCAAGTTTGCAAAGGTGTGCCATACCACCACTCCTCAGAAAGGACAATTAAAAGAAAGTAACACTGACTTACTAAGTCAGAAGAATAACATCAAGGTGAGTTCTGCTCAATTAAGTAGCCCGTGTTTAATACACAAGTTCAATACGTAATTCAAGTAAGTGAAATGAAAGCATCTTGTGACCAAAAGGCATGAAGAATCTGGTGTTTGGTATTAGTATCCACAGACTTGTCTTGTTTGAGTCAGAAAAAGAGACAACAGCAGCCAAGGCTTTATGTGTCTTCAATAGTTCAGACTTTATTGCAACTGGGAACTGGGGTTGTTTAGCCTGGAGAAAAGGAGGCTCAGGGGAGACCTTATTGCTCTCTACAACTACCTGAAAGGAGGTTGTAGCGAGGGGTGGGTCGGTCTCTTCTCCAGAGTAACAAGTGATAGGACAAGAGGAAATGGCTTCAAGTTACACCAGAGGAGGTTTAGATTGGATATTAGGAAAAATTTCTTCACTGAAAGGGTTGTCAAGCATTGGAACAGGCAGCCCAGGGAAGTGGTGGAGTCGCCATCCCTGGAGGTATTTAAAAGACATGTAGACATGGCGCTTAGGGACGTGGTTTAGTGGTGGACTTGGTAGTGTTAGTTTAACAGTTGGACTCAGTGATGTTAAAGGTCTTTTCCAACCTAAATGATTCTATGATTCAATTACTGTGAAAAATCTACACAAAAGAAGGAAACAGAAGTCAGAGAAGAAGTAGTCAGAAGGAAAAATACTACCAAGTACAGAACACCAAGCTCAGGAAAAATATTTTCTCTTATTAAGAAAGACAACAGCAGATAAAATATTTACACTATATGTCTTTACTATTTGAGCCCAAATTACTGCTGTGGTTACCCTGTGACAAAAACAGTTACAGAAAGACTTTCCTTTGATTACACTAACAAGCCCTGGGAGAAAAGTATGATTAATTTAACAATTACAGTAAGATATTAACAGGTTAAGGGGTTTCTTTTTTGCCTTCCCAACTGCTTCATAAGTGTTTGTCAGCTACTCACATCTTCCTTTTAATCTCTTCACTTACCGGTATGAGTTCGTTTGTGTGCCTGTAGTGATTTCTCTCGTGGAAAGACCCTGTTGCAGATATTGCAACGTATTCTGCTAGAAGAATGCTCTCCTTCATTTATTAGATCACGAACTGTGTCTGCTCTTGGTCGGCCACGTCTTATCCTGTCCTGCATTAAAATGATTAAGAAACTGAAGTGCCATACTTTTCCATGTAAGCAGTTTAGCAAAGAATATCCCCCCTCCCCTGAACAAAGAAACCCACAACACAACCCACAAGCAACCACACACAGAGTATGCTTACATAAGCTCAAAAAAAAATGAAGGATCTGATTTAATAATACATAGGAAACCAGGGTGTGTGTGCATGGGGTGTGTGGTGTATACATGGGTGCTGTGTGGGGTGCATTTGTGGGGTACATGTGGTGGGTTGTGGGTAGGTGTGGGGGGTGTCAGGACTAGGCAGGGGGGGGAGATGTGTGCATATGGGGGCTTTGGGGGCATCTGTTTTGGTTTTTTTTTCCATGCCAGGGCCTTGAGTTGTCTGGATTTTTTTCATTCCATGGTTTTGGGTTATCAGGGTTTTTTTTCATTCCATGGCTTTGGGTTGCTAGGGATTTTTTTGGCTACAAGTTTTTGGGTTTCCAGGGTTTTGGGTTGTTTTTGGGTTTTTTTTAGTTTGGTTCCTGCTTTTTGGGTCATCTGAGGTTTCTTTTCATTCTGGGGTCCTGGGTTGTTGGGGGTTTTATTCGTTCTGGGATCTTGGATTGTTTGTGGTGTTTCATTCCAGTGTTTTGGGTTGCTTGGGCTTTTTTTTATATTTTTTTTTTAGTTCTGGGGTTTTTGGTTGTTTGGGGTGTTCGACTGTGGGGTTTTGGGTTGTTTGGGTATTTTTTGATTCTGGTGGTTTAGTTTTGGGGTTCTAGTGTCTGAGTTGTTTTTTTTGGCGGGGGGGGGCTGGGGGTCTTATTTGGGTCTGGGTTTTTTGGGGGGAGATTTCTGCTTCTTGTATTTTGGGGCTTTTGGATTCTTGGGCTTTGGGATTTTGCAGTTCTGGGGTCTTGAGGCTGTTTCCTTCCAGGCTTCTGGGTGTCTGGGTTATTTTTTTGGTTCCAGGCTTTCAGGTCGTACAGGGCTTTTTTTTTTGTTCCAGCCTTTTGTGTGATTGGGGTTGGGGGTTTTATTGGTTCCTGGCTTTTGAGGCATCTGGCAGTTCTGGGCTTTTGTGTCATCTGTGTTTTTTGTTTAGTTCTGGGCTTTTGGGGCATCTGTGTTTTTTTTCATTCCAGGCTTTCGGTGCATCTGGGGTTTTGGGGTTTTTTTTCATTCTGGAGCTTTGATTTTGTGGCAGGTTAACCTTGGCTGGCCGCCTTTTTTTTAGGTGCCCACCAAGCCACTCTTTTACTCCCCCTCCTCAGCAAGACAGGGGGAGAAAATAAGATGAAAAGCTCGTGGGTTGAGATAAGGACAGGGAGATTGCTCTTTTCTCCTCACATTGTTCCCCTGCTCCAGCGTGGGGTCCCTCCCACAGGATACAGTCCTTCACAAATGGCTCCTGTCAGCACCTGTCCCTACAGACAGTTCAAACTGCAGGAAGCTGACACTAGCAGCAGCAGCAGTTGCCGCATGCTGAGAGGAGGCTTCTGAGGTCCCTGGGGGTGTCTGAGAGGGTTTCTGGGCCCCTGACACCCTTAGGCTGTGTGTGTGGGATGGACTGGCCAGCTGGCAGTAAGTCTCGGGCAAGAGTTGGGTGGTGCCAGTGGTCCCCGCAGCCAGTTCAAGCCACACAAAGCTGCATGTAACTGGTCCCTAGGGAGCACCAACAACCAGGGCGTGCAAACAGGGAGCAACGTCTGTTGGAAGCTGCATCAGCAGTTTTTGCATGAAGGGCTGTGCACTCTGCCAGTTATTGGGCTGCTGCCTGCTCTGCTCATCCTCAGGCTTCTGCTGACAGTCCCCCCTGTGACCCCACCCCAAGCTGGTGGCTGTGCAAGCCTACCCAGCAGCTTGAGGTCTCCAGGGAATTAAAAGGGCTTATTAGGCAGTGCTTTGAGGTTGTCAAAAGCATGGTGGTAGAGACCAGGCAAGGCCTGCGCTCTGCAGCATACAGGATTATCATGGGACGAGCGGAGGAAGCTGCTGTCCAGGTGGAGGGCTGCAAAGACTGCACCCCATACTCCTGAGTGGAGGAGGGTGCAAGCTCCACCTGTGCAAGGTGTGCTCTGGTGGAGTCACTCAGGCAGCAGGTGGAGGAGCTGCAGGAGGAAAACAGCAGGTTATGCTGTATTAGGGAAGGGGAACAAGAAACAGAGTACATTCAAGACTTTGCAAGAAGAAATATTCGGGCCTTGTGGCACTGACCTCCAAGGACTACCAGACAAAGAGTGTCAACAGGAAACAGACAGCACCTTGGAGAAGAAGGCGCCATGGTCTCTGGTGACTCGTGGCAACAGGATATCACTTCACTCCCCTTCCTCGTATGTATCAACCAGCAACAGATACAAACTCTTGGCAGTGGGTGAAGCCAATGAGCAAGACTCACAGGGAGAAACCACACCAGTTGCACACACTAAAAGCCACAAAAGGAAGCGTCGAGTGCTAGTAGTGGGCGACTCTCTCCTGAGAGGCACTGAGGCACCCATCTGTCGGCCTGATATACAGTCAAGGGAAGTTTGCTGCTTGCCAAGAGTCAAGATCTGGGATGTCACAGAGAGACTGCCACAACTGATTAAAAGCGCAGACTACTGTCCCCTACTTCTTTTCCACGTGAGCACCAATGACACAGTAAAGCATAGTCTGGGCAAGATCAAGCAGGACTTCAGAGCCCTGGGGGCACAAGTGAAGGGGACAGGGGTCCAAGTGATCTTCTCCTCTGTCTTGTGAGTCAGGGATAGGGGTGCGGGCAGAAGTTGACGCATCATGCAGATCAACATCTGTCTTGGTGGCTGGTGTCGTTGCCCCAGGACTTTGCTTTCTACGATCATGGGGCTTGCTTCAACAAATACAGCCTATTGGGGAGAGATAGGATCCACCTATCTAGAAGAGGCAGGGGAATCTTTGCTAGCAGATTGGCTGTATTAGTGAATTGTGCTTTAAACTAATGAACTTGGGGGGTGGAATCCACAGCTGTGACACATGTATATCCATAAGCAACAGGGTGGATGAGCGCACCTACCAGAGTAATGAGGAATGCTCCCCAACCCTCTCCAAAGGCAAGTCCAACCACCATGCACTTGCACGTATACCAATGGAAGTAGTCTGGGCAACAAACAGGAGGAACTGGAGATCTGCATCCAGTCTGAGAGTTATGATGTCATAGGAATCACAGAAACTTGGTGGGAAAACTCTGTATTGGGTTTGTGTGGCAAGGTTTTGGTAGCAGGGGGGCTACAGGGGTGGCTTCTGTGAGAAGCTGCTTGAAGCTTCCCCTTCGGCATTCTTCTCACTACGTCATCACTGCCTACCTGAAAAACTTTATCTTGATATTGGTCAAGATAAAGACAGTTTAATTAATGAAGGAAAGCTGTGTGCAAAAGCAAAGCAAAGTAAGAAATGTATTCACTACTTCCCATTGGCAGGCAGATGTTCAGGCATTTCCAGGAAAGCAGGGCCTCAGCAAGCAAAATGGTTACTTGGAAAGACAAATGCCATAACTATGAAGGACCCTGCATCCTCCTCCTTTCCCCAAGCTTTTATTGCTTAGCACAACATCATATGGTATGAAATATCCCTTTGGTTGTTTGGGGTCAGTTGTCTTGGCTACTTCCCCTCCCAACTTCTTACACACCTCCAGCCTACTTGCTGAGTAGGAAAAAGAAAGCCTTGACACTGTGCAAGCACTGCACCAAGGGAAGCAAAGCTTTTGATACTCTCTTTCACAGTATCCTTCTGGACAAAAAGTCCATAATAGGTTGGGTGAGCAATTGGTTGATGGGTCAGGATCAAAGAGTTCTAGTAAAGGGGGTTACATCTTTATCTTGATCCAGGAGCTTTTCCATCTTGTTTTGTCTCCCTTTCCTGTTGAGGAGGCTGAATGAGAGAGCAGCTGTCAGTGGTGGCGAGCACGTTGTTTAGGGTATAAATTCTGCAAAGTTCTTATGCATATGCAGAAACTTTAACACCTGTTTAGGGCCAAAGAAGCTAGATGAACCACTTGGGAGTTTAAAATATGCATCAAAGTACTCTATCAATCAATGAGAGTGGAATTTCTAGAATGATACTCTATCACTGGGACTTTTTCACATCATAGAAACAGATACTGGATGTTCACATTCCAGATGATTTTTTTTTGTAATCTGTTTTACACCATTTCTGATTCTTCAGTGACACCCTTTCAATCTTGGTCATATTTACTTTCAGTCTTACAGGATAGAATCATAGAACAGTTTAGGTTGGAAGGGACCTTGAAGATCATAGAGTTCCAACCCCCCTGCCTTAGGCAGGGACACCTCCCACTAGACCAGGTTGCCCAAGGCCCCATCCAGCCTGGCCTTAAACACCTCCAGGGATGGGGCCTCAACAACTTCTCTGGGAAACCTGTTCCAGTGCCTTGCCACCCTCAAAGTGAAAAATTTCTTCCTAATATTTAATCTAAACCTGCCTTCTTCCAGCTTAAATCCATTCCCCCTTGTCCTGTCACGACATGCCCTAGTAAAAAGTCCTTCCCCAGCTCTCCTGTAGGCCCCCTTTAGGTACTGGAAGGCCACAATAAGATCTCCCTGGAGCCTTCTCTTCTCCAGGCTGAACAGCCCCCAAATCTCTCAGATCATCCTCGTGGCCCTCCTCTGGACGTGCTCCAGCAGGTCCATGTCCTTCTTATGTTGGGGGTCCCAGAGCTGGACACAGTACTGCAGGTGGGGTCTCACGAGAGCAGAGTAGAGGGGCAGAATCACTTCCCTTGACCTGCT